GGATGGTCAGGTGACCTGCTGTGCATGGCTGTGCATAACCTCATATGACCTCATCCTTGGTCATATGACCTGACCACCTGACTAGGCTGAGTAAGCAAGATGTTCTAGCAGGTTCCACCACAGAGGTATAAATATAAGGCCTACTCTGCCTGGGGACTGTCTCTTCAGACTTGGTCTCTTAGGATCATCCACAGGTACCTATACTGTAGATAGGTCTTAGTCATCAGGTCTACTCCACTTCCTTGTTGCCTGCTTAGGCTCTTGGCACTCTTAGGTGAGCAGACTTAGTCAGCCTGTGTTGCCCTAACATGGACATTGGCCAACTGTGGCACCATCTTCAATATGTGTTGGGACAATGGTGCACTGCCACTCTTGGTGCAAACTTGACAGACCAATAAAGGGCTTATGTCAGGCATTGTGAATATGTGAAACATAAGCACTGCATTAGGGGCTTCTTGCCTTTGTAATGTCATGGATATCTCTGGATTGGGCAAATGACAGTGTAGGGCAGCCTGTAGGAATCCTGAGCTTGAGGCTTTGGGAAAGAGGACACAGCATCAGCCGGCTGTGGTATGTTTTGGGGAAGGTTGGGGTGCACCAGTGTGGGAAATTGTTGGTTGTGCTTGGTTGTGTGAGCTCTAGTGCTGGACAGCTTTGGAATGAGCCCAGATTAACAATATACTTACCCTGAACAGAAAGGTGCACAAACAATGCCCCCATTCCCGTTTCCTCATCTAGAGTCTCTGGTTGTACTGCGTGCAGAGGACGAGGAGATGAACTCTTCAGTGATGACTGTAGTTGGTATCCTAGAATTGCTGCTCCACAGTTTAAACATAATGCAGATGCTTATGGAATTAGCTTCATATGTGATAGCTTGGACAATAGAGTAATACCGACTAGTGGAGACAAGAGGGAGCGGTAGGTTGGTAGAGGGAGCGGCAGGTGTTGGTAGTGGGGTTGGTGGGAGTCATGTGGGGGCAGTTGGGACAAATTGTGATGAGTAATATTGCTGACGTGAAAAAAGTGAACCCTTCCTTTTCACTTCTCAACCTCGTCGCACGACCCGCATCACCACCACCATCATCATCATCATCAACGATGAGCCTCCCCCTCATCTTCAAACGAGGCTACGTGGTCCGTGCGCTCCCACGACAGCCAGATCCTCTCAAAGCTTCTCCACGAGCAAAAACATGGACCGTCGCTCCTGGTGTGACCTTCACGCACAATCCTCCGCCGAGTGTACCAAGTCCCTTCTCACTCACATCTGCGCCGGCTTCTCCTCTGCTTGCGCTGGGCCCACGTACACGAACAACCGAACCCTCAACGATCAACGAGCTGCTCTTACCGCCACGTCTCCATCGCCCGCCGAAGGCTAGAGTCGCCCTCACAGATGGGCAAGTTGCTGAGATTCGCAAATTGCGCGCTCACAACCAGAAGCCGTACATGCTCGCCAAACAATTTGGCGTGAGCGAAGACTACATACGTCTGCTCGCACCATTGAAGAGGTCGCAAAGGATTGGGGCGATTGCGAAGGCGCGTGCAAAGGAAGAGAGGGAGGATTGGGGATTCAGGAAGCGGGTTATTCGGGCGATCAGAGAGAAGAGGAAAGATTTCTGGTCATTGGCACCTAGGAAGTGAGGTCCACATATTTTCGTAAGTTCACTTACCTCATTGTTGAAAACAAATTGCTAATGCGATGCCCAAGCATAATCTTGTTAAATGTTAGGCGTGTACATGCGGCATCGTTGTGATTCTGGGTGCCGAGATATTTGCACACAAGCAACTGAAAGTATCTAATGCATCATTCCATTTAACATTTTCATTGCACCATCTCTGAAAAGACTTGCTACAGCAGATATTCACTGTCGCTCACCGAAAAACCGTGTCATTCTTACATCACCCGAAGTCGCGAGGTAGATTCGTGTGCCAAAACGTTGTCTACGATATAGTACCTCGAATAATTTATTAACACCGTCTTTAAGCCGGAGCTGTATCTTCTAACATATGTATGTTCTTTCAAGTCTTACTTTCTTACCTCGATGACTTAGGTCTTTTTCTGCCCAAACGGAAGCATTCTCTCGTGATTATATCAGGGAACGCGTGTGGGTAGGGGCACAAAGCGCCCATCCATATTTGTCACTTTACAACGAACGTCGACACGCACCTGTGCCCAGTCCAGTCACATTCTCATACCCGCTGTTGCATCCTTCGACGTTGTACCAATCGAAGGGCCAAGCTGTCAACTGAGATAGTGTCGTACTCGGTTGCAAGGCGAGAGCGTGTCATACAGTAAGGGTGGAGTGATCGCGAGTCATAGGAGTTGAAGTTGGTGCATGGAGAGACTGTCGACTAAGGACAGAGAGACTATCGCCTCCATACACGGGTTGTGAGCTGTCTTATTCCACATCTGACTTGTGTATGTCTGATCATTGAGTAGTAACAGCGTTAAACACCCGGAATCGACTGGTCGCCGAAAGGCATTGGGTATGCGAGCGCCCCGAACCCCAGGTTCAACGTCGCGCCCTTGGATGGTGCGTCTTCTAGCGCTTAGTATTATATAAGACTCATGTTCTTGACAGACTACTGACCTCGTGCGCTACATGCAGTCGCCGCTGAACCATTCCTCTGCCTCTCTGACCCGCAACACCTTGCGCGCCCCCGCAGCTAACTCGTTTGGAAAACGCCGCATGGAGCATGCATATCCTGCTATACGTTCTGAAAATAGTCACGGTCCCAATGCAAGACCCACCAAGAGACCACGGACGGAAGACGATAACACTCGACTCAATGATGGACATCGGCTCTCATGGAGCTCAGCACCCTCTGCAACGGAAACACCTATCGATATTGGCGTAGACGGTCGGACGGGTCGCGATCACCATCATCCTATTACGGTTGATGATGATGACGAAACTGCAGGAGACGAGCCCCCCGGACTACGTTGGCATGACGGATCGACGATGCGCACGCATACATCAAAGTCGCAAGGTACTTTCGGTCCAACAAAGTCGAGCCGTAACATGCAAAAATCTTCCTCAATTCTTGAAACAGAGTCGGATGACGAATTGGACGTGATCGGGCGAAACACCCAGAAGGATCCCTCCAGAGAACCTGTATACGGTCATGACACAATCTCACAAACGCGTGCATCCAACAGCAGACCCTCCAACAAGTCCGAGTACATGCACGATTCTCTCATTTTTCCGACCGAATCTACCCTGTCCGTTCCCCCTCAGCTTCTTGTTCCGAGTTCGCCGCCGCAGGCCCCACGTGATGTGATCGATGACAATTCACGAAGACCACCGTCGGAAGCAGAGGCTTCTGACGAAGATGCAGACCCGATCGAATCTTACTCAGATCAAGAAAAAGCAAGTCATGACCCACGCGCGACGTATGTCAAGCAAGATTCCCACCAAGAAGTTACCCCCTCTAGGAAGGGTATTCCGAATGGCAATACCAAGGCAAAAGCAGAGCAGTTCAACCAGGAAAGGAAAGGCATATGGAACACGGCCCAGACCGAGGAATTTGCGATCCAAGTGCGAACAGCGCAGCGAAAAATTAGAAACCAGATGGGGCCTAAACCAGTGGGTTCCAAAACGTCATCTTGTACAATGACTGATTTCTTGAAGCCGCCCCGTAAGGCTGGGGCACTAGAAGTGATTGACATGACTGGTGATGAGCTCATGGAATCCTCCCTTCCTACTGCCGCTATCATGGCGTCGCCCGAAAGTCTTCATGATGCCATTCCCTCACGTCAGCCAGTGAACGTGATGGAACGTGACGATGCGACAACCACCATACCCACCATGAATACAGGCCCGGCATCGAATAATATCCATGATGCCTTCCGGGCGCCGCTCGATCACCCTTCGATGGAAAAACAGTTGTCTGTTTCAGAACATCGACCTATCAAAACGCTGCTCGCCAATTCGGACATGCCCATTGAAGCCATATTTTTTCATGGGTGGAAGATCGTACCGCGCGAGAGATATTACCTCCACTTCACTGCCCACTTGTTCGCTTTATTGGGTCCCGGGAAGAAGTCTGTTGCGCAAGGTTTGTACACTCAATTCAAAGCGATCCAGGTAATATCCACGGTTTGGCGTACGTTGAACACACGATTGACACGTCACGCAGCTCAACCATTACTGTACCGATCCCGTGCTGTGTATCCTTCAGGGATTGCCTGCGGCAGTCGATTTCTTTGACAAAGCTCGAGCGCATTTCATGCCGCAGGCCCCTCTTCCTGGTAGGTTATATTGTACTAAGATGGGAGTCCATAGACTTACATTAAATGCTAGCAGAATCAGATGATCAGGAGGTATGTTTGAGATTGGTGGCTGCCAATGACGACCGGAGTCCGGTGTGGAATCAGTTGTCAAAGATCCTAAAAAAGGTCAATGGAAATCGGAAGACGACATGGATCCAGTAATCAGTTTTACTCTGTGCATGAATGTCTCTGATCATTTCTGGAAGATCTTCCGCTGCGCAGGGACTTTTGAGGCGTTACGAAAGCACATGTCAGCTCATGGAGTTCGATCCTGCTGCAACCAGAGCTCCGGCTCCCACCACACCAGCACCGGTGGTAGAGACGTCTCAAAAACGGATTTCCTAGTGAGTTTCTTTGGTTTCGTCTGCACACGCAGATCACTTCTCATCGGTGACAGCGTTGCGGTACCTTCTCGCCCGCCAGGTATTCCTATATCGATCCCGTCTAATGCGCCATCGACGTCGACACCACCGAATATCTCTGCGCCTGAAAGCGTTGAAATTTTGAGAAGAGGGCCCAAAGCGCGCACTGCCAAGTCTACCTCAATATTTCCTGGCATAGTTCGCGAGACACGGTCGGCGACGCAAAGTAAAGAGGTGATGGAAACATCCGAGGTATGTGCAGCATAATGTCGATCTCTTCTATGTGACACCAGATTCAGGCTCCTCAAAAACAGTCTCCAAGTCCGGATGCATATGATCTGTGAGTCGTCTCAGAGATTCTTGTGTGATAATCTGGTAACGTGATACAGGATGCTGGTATGGCCACTGGATTCAAAGATAGGCGCGGTACACATCACATACGGAGATTTTAAGCGTTTGGAGCCGCAAGAATTCCTCAACGATACGCTCATTGAGTTCGGACTCAAGTAAGCCAACAGCATACACCAAATCTGTTTCTCACATATACGTAGGTTTTGGTTCAACCAGTTCAGTGATCAGAACCCGCAGGCAGCACGACAAGTTCATATGTTCAACACCTTTTTCTACAAGAAGATTAGTGTGAAGGAGTGCGCGTGCCCCTGCCGGTTCGCCAAACCTCACTAATATGACTTCAGCTTTTCCGCTGGCTATGAAAGTGTGCGGAAGTGGACCAGCAAGGTTGATATTTTCGAGAAAAAATACATTATCGTGCCAATCAATGAACAGTATGCATCTGTTCTGTTTCTTTTTAAATCTGTGCTTATTCTTCTTAGCCTACATTGGTATCTTGCGATCATCTGCAATCCCAAGGGCGTTTTGCGTCCACGTCCACCATCATCTCCACAACCACAGCGAAGATCTGCGAGGCTGAGTTTGGGAAAGCAAGCCTCAGATTTGGGAGGTGCGGTTACTCCCCAGTCGACCGTATCCAGTCGTACCGAAGAGGACGAAGTTGAAGTCAGGAATTTGACCGCAATTTCCAACGACGGAAATGAGGATATCACAATGAGTGATGGCGACAATCCTCCGTATCCGGAAACTGTCAAACAAACGCCGGAAATAATCAGTGCCGTCGAGCCCGATGACATGGAAATTGATCGCATAGGAGACGATGACGATGGTTCTATATTTCGAGGGTTTTCCCCAGAACTCGGTGACGCAAACACACCTGCATCGCGCTTAGCGGCCAAGAGCAGCATCCCATTTCTGGCCGACATGGTGACTGATCCGGCTAAGGCCACGGAGGAAGAGTAAGAAGATCAATCCTTGATTCGGTCTTTCCTGACGTTTGACAGGACTTACATATTCACCTTTGACTCTCTTGGTGGCTCTCATAAAGCCGCGTGCCGACATCTGTCCAAGTATTTGATCGCAGAGGCAAGAGAAAAGAAGAACTGGACGAATGCCAGGGAAGCCACAGGAGAGACAGCCAAAGTATGTGACGTTCGGTGAATGCTGTTTCGATTTCTAATACTTTCTACATCAGGTCCCTAATCAACAGAACTTCTGTGACTGCGGTTTGTTCGTTCTCCACTTCGTCCAAAAGTTCATGCAAGACCCGGAGAAGTTCATCCAGACCTTTCTTGTGGGTTGTCCTTACGGGCACCTCAGTATGATGTTTCTAACTCGATTCTAGAAGAAAGAGAAAACGACAAAAGAGTCTTTGGACGCCCTCTGGGGCACGGAAGACGTGTCGGAAAAGCGAAATCTTATGAAAGCCACTATTCAGTCTCTCGCTGATGATTGGAACAAGAGGAAGCGGGCAGAGGCGGCGGAGGAGCGAAGAGCCAAGGAAGCATCCCTTGCACCCTTCCTTGAAGATACATTCCAGGGGACCAACGTTTCCAGCGAAGAAGATGATGGCGTGGAAATCATCGAGATCAAAATGGGGTCAGCAGTGGAACAGGGGGGCAAGAAACCCTCCGCTGGCAAAGGCAAAGGACGGATGAGCATGTCGCAGGAGAGCTCGCAAGATGTACAGATTCTAGGAGCCCCTGGACCAGTAACGCGGCGTTCAGAGAGACGGCAATCAGACGTGACACCGACATCGAGTAAACAGACGTTCACGGGAGGAGGGATAGCTGATGGTGTCAAGAAACGACCTCGCCCTTCCGGGGCCATGAAAAGAGTGCTGTTCGATTAATGGTTTCCGCATACTTCTCTTCTCTGGTTTTTATGAGGTCCAGGGTTCGAATGGTGTGATCCCTCGCGCAATGTACATTACACAAGCACGTAGATTCCCGTATGCTACAATCAGAATGTCATCTAGCGGCGTGCGTTTCATCTCTTGTCTTCACCCTTCATACAGCATCTTTCATTCCGAGTCGGCAGACCGTGCCCCCACCGAGAATACCGTCGAAAGTAAAGAAGTTTGCCATCGGCGCCTCGCGCCCGCCAATAGCTTTGAGCATGTCCTGAGCGAGGAACCCTCCCAATATCGCGCAAATCGGAGACAGCTCCGCTGCTGCTATTGTTGATAACCGCCTGAACGATGTCAATTGCCGATCCGCCTGCGACTGGCATGGAACAACATACTCTACATGTTCTGATGGGAGAGTCTTCAACACCAGTTTATTGATTTGTGCTGGACCCAACAACTCGTTCCCCATCTGGAGCAGCTCCGGCACAACCGCTTCATCCTCAGGTAGACTACTGTGTCGTGCTTGATACTCCCACACAGCTAAACTCGCATTAGTTAGATAGTTGAGACACCTGAATAAATGGAGACGCGCACCAAGGATGGAAAATACCACTGCTGGGTTGAGCTCTTTCGTGTCACGTTTCGTGAGATGGCTCCAGGTGGCTCTTAGTGCGGTGGAGAGGGGCACGTAGGTAAACGTTTTGTGTGTTTGAGGAGAGTTAGGCTTGGTCTGATCTCTTCATCGCGGCACATGAAAGTGAGCTCTATGCGACGCGTGAAAAAGAGAGACACGTACTGTGATACATAGCTGTGCTGGCCAAGGTCACAAAACGCATAACCATACCAGCCCATCGTGCCACCGCAATAGAATTGCTTTCCCGACTTGTGGCACGCTTCATCCAGCTTTTCGTATGTTACACGATCGCAATCCGTTGCGCAGACAAGGTTGATACCGTGGAAAAGTGCATGGAGGGAGTCGTCTGATAGTGAAAGGGGGGAGGAGAGGGAGACAATATTGACGAGCGGGTTGAGCGCGGCTATTCGAGGTAGGGCAGCGTCTACCCTCTACCTCGACACCTCGCATGTCAGTCACGTACGCATAACACGAACTCTTAACCGCACCTTTTTACCTACATCATCTTCCCTGAAGAAGAATCCCGCACCCAGATCTTCCTCCTCCACCACCCTTTCATCCAGGATCTTCAGCGTGCCAATGCCAGCCAGTACGATATTCTTGATAACTTCACATGCTGTTCCACGCAAATTAATCACTAGCACGCTAGCGTTTCGCATACGCGTCTGGGCGTCAAAACCCCAGAGACGGATCTGGCGGTCGTACAGTGCTGCTTCGTCTGCGAGGTCGGTGGCATCAGCTAGGCTCATATATGCAGAATATGGACACACCCTCAGTGATGGCGGTCTCTTTCCCATCGTGCAGTATTGCGCTCGCCATCTTTTTTTCTCTGACTGTGGAATAGGGATGGTATACGGGAAAGCGCGCACGCGTGCTACGAGAATGTTGACCACGGCCAGTGATGGCTCATGCTTTAGAAGGGCCAAGTGGCAGTGTTGGAAGGAATTGGCGAGGGCATTTTTGGGGCACGTCTGGACTCTGGACTCTGGATACAGATGTCAGGGTCCTAAGCTTACTAATTTAATCCCGCTTCGCATCAAGTGGGCAGGGCAGGGTGCATTGCTCAGCAATTCAATAGCTGGTGCTGCCTAACACCGAACGTGTAAGTCCGATAGATATGATTAGTTAGTGCTCTATCTAGATGGTTGTCTCCTCTGGTATGAGCTTTGGGGAGTAGGCATCACAAAGTTACCAGTTGGAGGCAACAATGGTGGGAGGAGTGGGGATGGAGTCTGCACCAGGGGATGCTTTGATCCTTGCTTATGGTCTCAAACCACAACAGGCAGTGCCCTGCCCAGTTCTTTGACTACCTGCAGCCCATCCTCATTCACTCTGCCCAGCAGGCAGATCAACAACTCATCCTTTCTGACCTGCACCAGACCCTCCCTTCCCTGACAGATCCACATCCCCTGCTGTGATTTGAAGAACTTTGCATAGGTGATGTTCTCAAACTTCATCCTGAGGTCAGAGCTCAGCTCCAAGCCCACATGACTTGGTCATTGGCTCATCCTTGTCCACAGCTTCCCTGCAGCAGGAGATGCTTGCAGGGAGAACTGGTGGACCTGTGTCTTAAGTGGGAGTTTGTTAGGGCAACACAGGCTGACTAAGTCTGCTCACCTAAGAGTGCCAAGAGTCTAAGCAGGCAACAAGGAAGTGGAGTAGACCTGATGACTAAGACCTATCTACAGTATAGGTATCTGTGGATGATCCTAAGAGACC